GAAGCACGTTTCCGCTGCGTATTATTATTTTTAGAATGCAAAAGATGCGACAATTTGCACTCTATGCCATACGCGGATGTTAGATACACACCGTTCTGGGTAAGTCGCTTATAAACCACTTATCTGTTGCGTTTAGTAACCAGATCCAAACAGTGTTGCCCTGATTAGCATGGTAATGTATGCATATACGATTATATAAATCCATTCGTACGAAGCAAACAGCGTGAATCTGTGCGTAAATCATTTGTTTATTTCGGGGAACTTCGGGTCGGTAATACCAAATCTAAACCTATGCGGTAAATACAGTGGCAGCTTAGACAAGCCGGACGTTTATTGTTGCTAATCCCACGGTATGGTAGCACTATGGCACACAGTAAATTGCTTTTCGTTCATTTCCACTGTTTTGTTTAAACTCACGTGCTGGATATGTCGCACATGTGATGTCATAAGTAAACAAAACCGTACTTTTATAAACGATTGCGCTGGCCAGATGATTTTGACAATGCACCATGCATATTTCCAAAAACACTTTTATTTGAGAGGGTGGTTTATAAAAAGCACGCTAATTTTCCTAATATGGTACAGCTTTTGGCCTTTGGTAAATACACTATATGCATACAAATAGCTGGTCATATTTTTTCTAATAGCGCTGCTCGGACAGTGACGGTAACCCACAAGATAACAAGCACAAATCTAACACTGAATAAACAAAAGCCGCTAGACCAGAATTTGAACGGATGTAGTATGATGCATCGTGCGTTTACAACGTTATACGATGGCAGAAATATGCACCTCCAACTTGTTTGACGGTATGACGGTGTGACGGTCAAATGGAGAAATTCCAAATGTATTTCATGAAGAAAGCAGGCGTTCCTAGTAACACGCTGTGCCCAGTTTGCATAGCCCTGACTTACGCAACCAGCGCCGAAAAATTTACATGAAGTACGCGTAACCATATTAACAGTAAAAGAACCCAAATTGCGTCTGATATTAGATGCACAAAATCCTACAGTCTTACGTCAGTTCAAGCTCTTGCAACCAATGCAATTAAAACCTTTCCTGATCAATCGCTTCCACTCATTTTTATGACGTTCATGCTAGATTTGAACTGGCAGATATATGCACCTCCAAATTGTTTGCCTGTATAACGGTCAAAAAGGAGAAATTCCCAATGTATGTTTTGAGGAAAGGAGGCGTTTCTAGTAACACACTGTGCCCAGTTTGCATAGCCCTGACGTACGCAACCAACGCCGGAACATTAACAAGAAGTACACGTAACCATACTAACAGTACAAGGACCCAAAGTGCATCTGATATTAGACGCAAAAAATCCTACAGTGTTACGTCAGCTCAAGCTCTTGCAACCAATGCGATTAAAACCTTTCCTGATTAATTGCCACCACTCATTTTCGTGACATTCATGCTAGATTTGAACTTACACCCCGCTTGACAGGTTTGCACTTGGTTGTTGTAAGTAGAAACAGTGCAATGTTTTCGCACAGGTCATCAGATAGAAGATAACCAGGTTTCGATAACGCAGTTTGCCACGCGTTATCATTATTTACCACCATTTTTTTCACGGAATAACTTCTGTCCATTTAGTGAATGAAAGTCACGAACTATGTAATCGATCTTTTGCTTGTATACACAAATAATACAGTAAGCAGCTTTGTGCCACCTAAAATAAAGAACATACAGTTTGGTCTTATATTTATTCATAATGGAAGGCGCTCAGCAAGGGTTTTTCATTATCAGTGAATTTCATTTTGCATTTTCCTATCAGAATAAATATACATGACTTGTTAGAAAATTCGTTAGAGATGTTTGATATATGTGGGATCTGGGA